AGGTTTAGTCCGATGCTCATATATACTAAACATGTATATTTATAGATTAGAGTAAGACACCATTGTATATATATATAATCATATAACATATAGCATGTAATATACCATCTACACATCGAATATACATGTAGATATGAGATATTCAAAACTTAGTATCTAATAATGGATATTCAATATGTACTATATACTAGAAAGTACATGATAAGATCATACTGCAGAAATAATGTAAAACACTACAATAACATATAATGTAACATCAGATAAAAAAACAGAAACATATGCTGCTAAGATATACAATAACTAGCCTAGCCCAACTTGGTAGAAGACAAATATAAACTAACATGATATCAAAATTAGGACATAACGCAATAAGAAATAGAGCAGAATAGAATAGAACAGAACAAACTATATACAGATAGATAGATAGACAGACAGATAGACAGACAGACAAAGAAGATCGACAGAGCGATAATCCTATCTATGTCTAGATATAAGACATGTCATTGAGGAGCTCGGTTCGTCTCCGAGCCAGGGGCTGATGACCTCGCCCTGGAGGTGGCACAGCGCGCTGCCCAAAGAGTAGGTGCCCACCTCTGAGGACAGCGCTTCTTGTCATACATACACACATACACGCAGATACGAGATCATGACATATGCATATGCTGAATTCTATATATATATATATATATGTGATGGTATATGGTATATGACATGTATGATATGTGATACCTGACATCTGGTGCCGGGAGATGTGTGTCTGTGTGTGTGCATGTGCGTGTTCTGATGTCTCTTGTTCCGTTGGGCGACTTGAGCGTCAAGCGGATCTGGTGCTCGACAGCGGGCAGGGTCCCCAGTCTTCCACTTCTGCGCTATGCTGAATGGAGCATACAGTGACCCACGCCCGGGTGGAAGACCGGAGACACGCGTCCAGCCAACATTAAAGGCACCTTTAGGTGAGGCCTAAGCCGAAACGTTTGCTCGCGGCTCTCAAACCACGCGCAGAAGGGCGCGTGCAGCCAGAGCCTGCCGGCGAGTAGGGCTGTAGACTTCGGCGGGCATCGGAGATGAATGCAACCGAGACGCTGCACCGCCTCCCCGCTGTCTGCCCTTCCCCCCTCGGTACATCAAGTACTCGGGTGGAACTGGGCGACAGGCAAAAACCCGAGCGCCGGACCCCCTAAGGGCCCCGATCGCCCCGGTCGCGTTCACGGCGCTCTCCCCGATCTCCACCGCGATCCTCGAAAAGAAGAAAGGGAGCCGAAAAGCGAAGACAAGGTGGCTGCAGCCCAGGCACTCGAGGCTCCCGGTGTCCGTGGCCCGCATGGCCGCCCCCGCCGTGGCCATGGCCTCCACGGCCTCGACTCCTTCAATTCAGAGGCTCTTCCAGTAGCGTCAGAAGCTCCACAAGTGCAAAGCCGTGGCTCCTGCTCCTGCGGCCGCCACCTCGGCCAGGACTCCGTCGATCCCGACTCCTTCAAGGAGAGATCTCGCATCGTATGCAGCGTTTTCGTTTCTGCGGATCTCTGCTCTGCTCTTGGAGCGCTCCTGGAAGCCCGGTTGCTGCGTGGCTGGAAGCCCCGGTCTCGCTCACGCTCGCGGCTCCGCGAGGTGCGGTTCCGGCTCTTCTCGGTTTCCTTCGAAAAGGGTGGCCCCGGCGATTGGAGCTTCTTGAAGGCACAGCCCCACCTTCTTGTGCAGATAGGAGCCGATGGCTGGAGTTTTTGTGCAGGGCTGGATGTCCTTTTGTTCCGAGCTCTGACAGACACCATCGCCGCCTCCATGATCCGCTGGGATCCAAGAGCCGGACAGCCCCGTTTTTGACGTCTTTGAGCATGATCATGACCTCAGGCATTCACGCTTTCGGGCAGGGAGGGCACATGAGGGCACCAACCTCTGGGTGATCTGAGCTCCGGTCTAATGATGACGGCTTGTTCGAGGCCGCCAAATGCTCGCCTTCAAGACTTGCAGGCTGCTTGCAGATGTGGCAGATACAGAGTAGATACAGGGAATCGAGTTCTTAAACCCTCGTTGTGGCTGCGGTGAAGCGGGTGAAGCACACCAGTACCCCAGTCCACGAGGAAACTCGGGGCCGACAGCCCCCAAACCGTGAAACGGCTATAACACCCCAAACCCCCGAATGAACCACTGAACCCGAAGGAAGACATGGTGCAACAAGGAGCAGATCTTGTCCAGGGCTTCGTCCGGGTCTTCCCGGCTCTCTAAGGCCTCCGCCAGAGAACTGCATGTTCGTGGCTTTTGGAGGGGGCTTGCATGCATTTTTTCATCTGACGGCTTTTCGGGGGCTCAAGCTTCGTGGGGGCTGTGGGGTTTCTGAGGGCGTCGCCTCGGCAAGCTTACACGCCGAGGGCGCGTCGAGCTTGTACTTCTTGGCAGCCTCTCGTAACATATCACCGGAGCATGGCCGAAGCGACGACTCCGGCGCCCCGCGCCTTCTCGACTTTTGGATTCGGAGTGAGGCAGCCACGGAAGACGCCTCTGAGCGGAAAGGTGGCCCTGCACCCCGTGCACAAGGCTGCCTTTCTGCCTGCCTTGCTCCATCCATCGGATGCTAACCTGGGATTAGAGCACGGACGCACGCATGCCACGCTTGGAAGTTCTCCTTCCGCGAAAGTCCGGCCGGGCGGCCATGAGAAGGTCCGCCGGGTTCTTGGCACCCTTCAGGATCTCGTACAAGGAGGCGATGTCCTCCCAAAGCGGCGCTGCGAGCTGTGCTCCCAAAGTCCTTTTGCCCCAGAGTCTCCTCCTCGTAGGTGTTGTTGCGGCGCTTCAGCTGTTCGTTCAGCATCCGCGCGTGCCTGCTCTTCACGACTGCAGGTGGAACCGGCCAGCTCGTTTTCCAGCCTATCACCGATCTTGAAGTAGTGCACAAGCTCTATGACTTCCGGCTCAAGAGCAGTTGATGCAGCCTGGGGCAGTCGGGGTAAAACAGCTCGAGAGAGAGACAGAGTGAGAGAGAGTGGCAGCTGGCCTTTGTTGCATCGTACTCCATCGCCTGCTGCTGTGTGAGGCTCGGCGGGCCCGGAATGGCCGCTGGCATTGGCGGCATGCCCGGCGGCTGGATGCCCGGAGGAAGCACCACCGGCGGCATGCCGGGGCCCAAGCCTCCCAAATGAAATGTCTCTAGGCCTAGGCCTTTTCAGGGCCACTCTCTCCCTCGAGCCTGGGAGGCTCATGCCCGGTCTCATGGCGAGGGCACCTCTTGCAGGGCTTTCGGCGTGCGCGCGCGCCCGCGCCTCGCGAGATCGCCCCCCAAGGCCTGCAACTCCCGGAGGGATGTTGATCATTGAATTCGCCTCAGTTTCCGTCGGCGGAGCTCTCGATCAACCTCGACCGCCTGGTGCCGGAGCTCCCCCCCTGCCTGCTAAAGCCTAGAACGACGGAGCTTGGGCTTCGCAGATTCGACAGAGGGAGGTTTTTGGGCCCTTTCATCGCCGGCACGAGTCAGAGATTTATCAGAAGAGGAATCGAGACGAATCGAGAGACGAAGGTCCCCGAGTCTCCGAGTCCTGGAGGCCGAGGCGACAGACAGGGCTAGCCGAACTTTTTGGAACCGGGTCGCCCCCGACATCGGCGGCGGGGGGAGGCTCCTCGGCTCGGCAAAGCCGATCTCCACACAAAGTCTGGGGAAAACATCTCGACTTGCGGCGCTGTGTGCCGGCCAAGCGTCCCAACGCCTATTCGAGGAGGCACCGTCTGGAAAGACGGCGTGGGCCCTCTCCTCGAAGCACAGAGAGGAAGTCGCAGACTGAGGGCTGCGGGAAAGTCCTCTTGAATGATATCTGTATACTTCCATGAACTTCAATGAAGGCACACTGAATAAACAAGAGCACACGACGAGTCGTTCCGACGTGCCTGAGGCCTCCAGAACCCCTGTACACCCCTGCGGCCGGCTGTCGCTTTGGACTCCGGCACAATGGCCTTGTTGCTTCCTCCGGCTCCTGCGAAAGAGGACATGTCTGCATGATTGAGGGGCTTAGATAAGGGTATACGGCATATACGGTATACGTCACTGTGAAGGTCGAGACCGATTCCCAACTCAGTCCCGGCAAGGGCGGTGCAGATCCATGCTTGCTCTCCAGCTCCTTCGTCAATGGCGCAAAACACTGGCAGATCACGAAAAAGCTCAGAGCTGCCTCGATCTTCTCCGAGATCTCGCCGGCGAGCATCATCTGAAACTCTGCACCACCTGAAACGTTGCGTCCCCGCATGAGGCTTTGGGCTGGGTCCTTTCCGATGCCTTCATCTCCCTCTTGCTTCGCTTTCTCAGCGGCATCCTCGAAAGCAGGGAAGCAGTCTATGTGCAGCCATCGTGAGCTCGTGTTTGCCTGAGTCTCGCATGCTTTCTCGCCTTTGTCTTGCGGCCCAGTTTCGAGCATCTTCTGCCTGTCTTCCCTCAGGTGGGACAGCTCGTCCCAGATTTCTGGGGTCATGGCGGCCATGGTGCCTGACACGTGCGGAACAAAATGATCCAAAGCTCGAGCTCGATTTGCCTTTTCTGTCAACTTCTGCAGCTTTCCACGGCCCGTGTGCTGCTGGCGATATCGCGGCATGAGAAGACGTATAATGCAGGTGTCTCAATGGCCACTTGCAGACTGCTCACCGACAAAACGGAAGACAGCTGTTGACGCAAATTCCAGCAGCCAAAAACTCAACAGAATCTGCGATGCCGTGCACAAACATCTCCGCCTGGTAGGCACCTCCTGGCACGCCAACCTCGGTTTCCGTGAGGATGCTCCGTTTGTCACAGTAGCGGTCGCCATAGACTGCACTCCGTTGTCTGCGGCCCAAAAGCCGCGGCGCCGCGTCCATGGGACCCCGGTGTTTAGCAGCAAAAGCAGCTGCGGTGGGAGAGGGGACCGAACTCGGGTCGGGTGCAAATGCCCTAACGACCCCCTAGCCCGCACGAACCTCGAACGAAGGCACGCAGGCTATCGGCACGGTTGAGCACACAGTAGATGCCTTGATGGCATTGGGGTCCACCCACTGCTCGTGGATGTTGGCGACCTGAGGTCGCAAACTCAGGCAAAGGCGCAGGCATCAGGGAGATGTCTGAGATGTCTGAAAGCTGAAAGCTCTGCCCTGAAAGGTGCGCCCCCCCCCCACTCCCCTTCGCTTTAAGGTGGCGGCCACCATGGCCCAGACCTCACGGAGCCGAAAGGCGACAAAAACACGCGGACGGATGATGGACGTTGGATCCCGGGCCGCTCCCTCCGTCTCCGCCTGAAACCTCGCGCGCGCAGGCGCAGACGCGGGCGCAGGCGCAGGCGCCAGGTGCGCGAGGGATCATGTTGGGAGCTCCCAGCTCGGAGCTGTCTGCGTCGCTGAGCCCTTCGCGTCAGCTGAAAGCCGTCGGGGGAAACTAAGCTGTTGGTCACGGTCGGCTGCATCAAGAAAGTGTTCGTGTGCGGCACCACGAACCTCGAAGAACGGTCAAGCAATGCCGAAAGCTTTGTCTGGCCCTGAGCTTCTGAGGTCCTCGCTGCACTGCAGGTGCGATGACACCATCGTCCCCATTGTAAGTCCCCTGCACCACGGTATGCGTGGGGGATGTTTTTTGCACACATCGCTGTTGTTTGGTGTTTGATGCTTTGCGGGATTTGAAGGACGCACACACGAGATTGTGCTGGCTGCGAAGACGTCAGCGGCAAGGTCCGGTTTCCAATCGGCAAACACAATTCGCCACACCTCTAGGTGAGCTGCTTAGAGACCTGGGCGCCAATGTGCGGGAAGACCACTGTCTCCCGAGGCGGGTCTTCATCGACCCAGGGTTGGTGTCTAAGGTGCACATCTTCTTCGCGGCCGGGCATCGTGCTTCCAATGCAGGTTGTCAGGAAGCATGCTTTGTTGGGCGCAGGCTCTTGCCCACATATCCCTGAGAACCTACCTGTATTGTGCTTCATCTTTCGTTGATTTGCCACAACTTGGTGTTCCGACTGTCGCCGATCCTGACACTGCCCCGATCTGGGCCCCGATGAAATACTCCTGCTGTGCGGCTTCTCGACCCCACAGCCTCGTGTCGCTTCCGAAGCAGCGTCGTTCTCCAGACGACAGCTGGGTGTCAACCCCTGCGAAACTGTGGAACATGCCTGCCTTGCATCCACCCAAGGCCCTGTCATGCTGAATGTTCAACGCGCATTCCACCTGATAGGGCCATGTACAAGTGTTGGCGTTGAATCGTTGAACCTCGTGCAGTCTGCAAACTATCACTCCTGGAGGTGGGGATAGCTTGTTGTTGTGGTGCCAAAGCCCTGTGTGACACCCTGCCCACGCCATCCCACGCCGAGCCTGCTGGTGCGAAACAGCTGGCTGAGAAGAAGCAAACACAAGTGGAGTAGCTCATTCCCGTGTCCCATATCCCATCTCATTACCCAGCATGGCTCACACCAAGGCGACGATTTTACGAGCACGAACAAGATCGTGTCTGGGGTTTGGCAACTACAACTACTGTAATGACAGGTTTCTTGTGAAAGGCATGCTCAAGGCAAGCTGTGCTAAGGACTACGAGATCGGAGGAAAAACTACGCGTGTGCACATGACGAGAGCTGCAAAGGTGGCATGCACTTCAGCGGCGTTGGTGTTGGGGGATTTCGGTGCTTGGGCTGTGCACAAAGACCAATGCTGAGAAGGGAGCTATGACAGCTATGGGATGCTATGGGCGGTCAAGCGGGAGAATGTGGTGCTTGTGTGAACAGCCAATTCCGAGAAGGCGGCTCGCAAACTTCATGCTCGGTACGGAGCTATGACAGCTAGGAGCGTTGTCTGTGGTGGTCAGAGGCTGCGTTAAGCGTGCAGCTTGCCGCAGGGACAGGGCCTCGACGTAGACGAAGAGGCGATAGGTGTCACCACCTGCACCGGAGCGCCAATGCGCGCCGGGTGCACTGGGCGAGCGTGCTCTCTTTTGCCTTTCAGATTGCAGCCCATGATGCTGATGCTCTGCGGCTGGTCGTTGATGGCATAGTTCCTGGCAAGTTCAAGACGGCGCTGGCTCTGCGCGGCGGCACGGCCCATGGAAAAGGACGGGGGCGCCAGCGGCTGCAGAGCGCATCCCGCAGGAACTTCATGGCCCTGCTCCGGCAGGGGCGAAAAGCAGAAAAAAAGAGAAGAGATGCTGCGCTCTTCTCCTGACGGTCATGCAGTTCTCCACGTAGTCCGGCACCACCATGGCCCAGAGCCGGCCGTCCATGCCGGAGGCCTCACCGTCACCCCCCGCCCAGAGCTCCGCAGACGCAGAGCGTCGGGAGGGAGCGCTTAGCTCTGCTTAGCTCTGCTATGCTCTGCTATGCTCTGCTTCCGCTTGTCTTTTGGGCCCCCTTGCGGTCACGGTGAAGGTGACCCCATCGGAGCTGGCCTCACAAAACGCAGAGCTTAACCGACTCGCAGAGGCCGAGGCCGATCCGAGGCCAAAGCAACGGCACCGGCGATGGAGACCAGCTTTGGGTACGCAGAGAAGGCATTGGTCGTGCCTCGCCGCAAAAACGGGATCGAGGCAGAGGCACAAAACAAAGAGGAAGTTTCTCCCCAGAGATCTACCAAGCGCTGGGCCATTCGACGGCACCATCACGTCCACCGCTGCAAAGCTGCCGTCGTTCTCGGCCATTCCATCCTCGATGTAAACCATCGCCTCCGACGTCCGATCTCTGCTTACTGGTAGCTCCGGGGTAGCGAATAAAGCTGCCGTGGCCTTGTAAAGTACCTCGAGGCTCAAAGAACAACTGTCGATGGTGAAGCTCTGCATCCCACTGGTCAGAGCAACACCTCGGCTCAGCTTTGCAGCCTTCTGCTTTGAAGAACTCCCTTGGAATCACTCAGCTCAGGGCTGGCAGTCGAGCACATGGCTCCCGTGGCTGCCTTCAGAGAGCAGGCCGTTTCTTGAAAGCGAGAAACGACGACAGACAGAGACAGAGGCAGAGGGAGAGAGAGAGAGAGATTGAGAGAGATGTGTTCTCTTGAAGCTTCAAGAAAGCCAAGGGCCTTGATGGAGGCCACCGTGGCGCTGATCGCTTCCTCGGCCGCTGCTTTCACAGCGCAAACGGTTTCTAAGTCCAGGTCTAGGCTCCCGGGCCAGCTCCGGGATCACCACCGCCCAGGCCATGCCCGCCTGCGAAAGGCTCTGGCGAAGGCTCTTAAGGAGCATGCGATTTGGCTCTTCAAAGTGGTGGTTGTCAAAATTATGGTCCCTTTTTTTGGGTCCTTATGACAATACGGCACCTATTATTTAGGGTACCCCACAAAGGACCATAATTTTCACAACTACCCATGTCAATGTGAACTTCAACGCAACGCAAAAAAACCCACCTCGCGAGGCTCCAGCTCGATGACAACTTGGCTCGGCGTCGGCCTCGGTGCGTCCGCGCTCCGCCGCGGAAGACGCAAAGGTACGGCAGCTTGGGGAGCCCGCGTGGCCGCCAGGCTTGGGTAGGGGTACACTCCTGCTTTTCGAGGAGCTTCAGTGACGTCTGCTTAAAGAGAGCTCAGGCTGACCTGCGAAGCTGTTGGAAGGCGGCACCATCACCTCCATTGGCTCTGCCAGCACGCCGTCGTTCTTGACGTGCCCATCCTAGCCAGGAGGCCTATAGCCCAATTGCAGACTCTCATGTAAGTGGCTCCTCGACGTACACAAAAAGTCTGTACTTCTGCCCCCCGTAGAGTCTGCAGCTGGTGAGGTTCACCTGGGTGCACTAGGAAGACAGCTCTGTTCTCAGCAATCACGACCGCTCACTGCGGCGCAGGCCGTGTTCCCCATGGTGGAGGCAAAGTCGTTCCATTTGCCTGAGTGGCCACATGACGCGATGTGTATTTGCGGGAGCATGTGTGGACCAGCAAAAGTGCGTACGTGCAGACCTGTACAATCGACCTACCTATCTATCTATCTAATTATCTAGCAGAGTTGCAAGAGGCATCGCCCACAGCGCTCATGAAGGCCTCGCCGGGAGAGGCAGCTAGTGCCCAGCAATCTGCTTGGGGTGACTTCGTGAGCCTTGGGCCTCCATTTGCTGATGCGAGGCTTCTGTTCCCACAGAGTTTTCCCCCGAAGTCTGCCGGCAAAGCCCTCTATGACTGGCTGTCGGGCTGTCCTTTAAACAAAACGTCTGAGAAGACTGCTTGTATCATGTCGCTGCGGCAGCAGACCCCGTAGACGCTAGTGCTGCTAGCAGCCTTGACGTTGGCCACCGTGAGAGTCGCATAGTCCGCTTCCGCCGCAATCATGGCATATCCCCAGCCTCCACCAGAAATCATTGCGACATCTTCTTGTCAGGTTGTTTGCATGGGTGTGGAATCCAAAGTTCTTTCGGCCCAGCTACAGAGATCCCTTCCAATTCGAAGGTTGAGGCCTACTGTAACTTCCGCGTTTAGGACTTAGACGGATGGTCTGCCGCTGGCTCCGATGTTGTTCAGGGATGGCTTGAAGCAGATTTCTCCATACAGCCATACAGCCTCCATTATTGACAAAGGGGGGGACGAACTTGCACTCGCCGGCAGCGAAAGGCTCGCATGACACAAGTCCGTATACTCGACCCATCAAAGTGCCAGAGGTGGCAGGCGCAACTGGCGGCACCGCAGACAAAGCTGTAATGCTGCAGCAGGGTTTGGGGCTTGGTATCACTTAAAATTCGACTTCTCTGTAAGACCAAGGACCGCAGTGCCTGCGGAGGCCGTGGGCGTGAAAGTCACGGCGAGGCCATCCTGGCGAAACCGTTCGCGAAGAGCTTCGCGAAGCTTCGCGTAGCTTCGCGGAGCGTTCGCGGAGCGTTCGCGGGGCCCAGGCCCAGGCCTTCGTCACGGGCATCTGGATCTCGGGCGGCACCTCAAGGCAAGACCGTCGTCCTCCGCTTCATCTGCATGCCGAAGCCTGAGCCTAAGGGCCACTTCCACTTCCACTCGGGGCTCGCGCGGCGAAGGAGTTGGAGGTCGCCGGGACTTGGAAGCGCAGCGGCCCGTACAAGGACCCATCCTCCCGGAAGAAGGGCGGCCGGGTATGGAGGTGTCTTTAGGGTTCTGGGTTTTGGGCTAAGGGTTGCAGGGCCTGTTTTTGGGAGGCCGGACTCAGATGGCTCAGACATGCTCAAAGGATCTCAAAGGCTCGGGCGTTGTCAAGGGCATCGTAAGACTCGACGTAGGCGAAGACCGAGTACCTGCAAAGCACGACGACGAAGCCCATCTGCACCCAGGTCACTAGGAGAAGCCTGAGGCCAGAGGCCTGAACTCTCACTGCTCCGGGCTACGGCTACGGCTGGGGAAGGGAAGTACGAGTACAAGGTCCTAGCACCAGAGCATCGAGGATGCCATTGCTGGCCATTCGCTTTCAAAAAAGGATGGCTTGAGAACATGGTTTCCCACGGCTCCGTTCTTATCGTTACCGTCTCGTGATAGCGAGCCAGGAGGTGCAACACACAAGAGAAAGAAATAGCCAAGCGAAGGGCGCACCAGCCCATCCCCATCAGGCCACAGCCGTGCAGCAGAATCCTGCCACTTCGGGGCACCGCAGATCTATATCTGCTCTGAATGTCTCCGAGGGCTGCACTCTCGCTCCACTCCGGCCACGACAGGCACCGCCATGCCACGGCAGGACCTCGCAAGGTGCGGAGTTGAAGAGGCACAGTGCACTGCAAATCTGACAACCAAGGGCATGGACAGCCTCCCAACAGCATCCATGCCTGCCTTCACCTTCGCGTCACAAGGCAAGAGGTGCAAAAAAAAATACCCCAAACCCCCCCCCAGGATCTTCTCCGCCTTCGGAGCCGTGGACGTTGGCGCCGGCGTGTACAGTGTATCCTCACTCTGCAGGGCTGTAAGGGCGAAGATGCGCGCAGTCACCTCTGCGCCCGTCCGGACTCCGCAGGCGCAGAAGTTTTTTTAACGACCGCGGGGTTTATGCAGGGAAAATCATCATCAGAGATTGCTCGGGCAGCCCGATCTCTTGATTGGACCAGGCGCATCATGCCCGATTTCAGCATAATAAAGGTTAAAGACTGGTGGAGGGTGAGAACTTTGAGTGGCATGCGGCAAACTGCACCAACAAACAGTAGCAGAACAACTTGGCACATCATGCTACGAATGCTTGATCTTATATTTGGCGTGCATACCTGTGGAGTCAAAAAGTTCATGGCACAATTGACAGGGTGTTCCGTGACTTCTGTCACTCACACCTCAGTCAATAAAGCACAAGTTAACTTCTGCCTCTGCAGAAACTTGAACTCTGCAGGCCCTTGTGTGAATCAGCTTGGGTCCACCACGTGCAAGATCCAAGCTCTTGAAATGGAGCGGACACGAACCGCCAAGTAGCGGCACACGGGAGGAAGCAACAGATGGTACCTGTGAAAGCGAAACTGTATATCATGATATCTCAAGCACAATAAGCAAGTAGCCGTCAAGTCGCATCTAGGGCGCACTGGAAAAGCTAGGCAGACCAAAACGCATCTTACCTTTGATTCTGGCTGTCTTGAAGAGCGCTCCTTCGGAGCCGCTTCGAAAACTAACTACTCATTCACAGAACGGGACCTTCCCGGGAAGAGCCGACCGCCCTTCCGAGGGCCTCAGAGTCCGAGACATCCCCCCAAAACCCCAGAAAAGCAAAGGAGACCTCGGCCCCCCAGCGGCCCTGGCTGCGCCCCCTTTCTGGCTGTTCGATACTCGGAGGCCGGCTCGGGCCGCTCGGAGGCTGCGGCGTGAAGGGCGACGAGGTCGGCGAGGACGTCGGCGACGGAGCCGACGGCGGCGACGGCTCCAAGGGCAACGGCGCAGGGCCCACCCCGCCTGCCGGCAAGGCGGCAGCCCGCCTACGACGCCCTCTAACTACGTCCTCCACCCTCGTGCCTGGGGGAGGGGGCGGCTGAGCATGGCCTGACGACGGATCTCTGCATTTTGCAGACGAAGTCCCGTGCCTACATGCATGCATCCACACATCCACACATCCACACATCCACACATCCAACACATCCACGCATCCATGCATGCATACATATATGTTCATAGATCCAGACATGCATGCATGTGCAAATATGCATGATGCAACCTTTTTCAAGCATCTGCAATCAAACATGAAGCACCTAGCGTACGAGGAAAGACATCAGATATTGGAAAACACTGTACCCAAACTCTACCATGCAACGTAAAGATATAGTACATAACAGTATCCGACGATCATGGAATCATGTATGTGTATGTATGACTCACCGCATGAACACTTACCTCATGTACTTGTATTTACATACTTATCGTGGTTTACATGGATATACAAATTATACATGTCAGGCGTGCCAGCAGCATCGGCGTTCTTCCAGCAGCGTGCCTGATGAGTAGCCGCCGGCAAGGTCGCTCGAGGGGGCCGTGGGGGCACCGCCAGCGAAGCTGGAAGATCCTGGCCGTGACGGAGGGGTGGGGGGCTCTTAAGCTTAGACGGGGCCTGTGCTTTCTGAACCCGGGGATAAGGCCTCTTGTCGCTGATGTCGTGAAGACTCTGAAGTTTCAGACGCTGCAGCTGCTGGCACACTGCTGTTGCAAGAACTACTGGCGCCGCCTCGAAGACCCCGACGACGAGGACGACGACGGCCACCAGCACCACGACAATGACGACGACCGCCGACGGAAAAAAGACGACCACCAATCACGACGACTACTACGAAGACCAACACGAAAGACTTCGACGAGGACAATGCTGCTGCCTCCGGGCTAGCATCATATTCTCGGTGCTGAATTGCGCCTGAGATTTAGTTGTGCCAAGTCTGCGCTGCTTACTACATATCCCGGCTCGCCTTCATTTAAAGTCATTCTCGCTACGTCTTCCACTGCTACTGCGTCTCCTTCTGGCTTCAAGCTTTCTCTACTTCTACAACGATCAAGACCCCTGTAATGGGCATAGATATTTGTGAGATACGACAGCACCAAATTGCATGCAAGAGGTCAGGTTGAGTTCGCACGGTGGCTTCCTTGTGCCTTCCTTGCCCAAGATGGATCTCTTGCAAAGTACGACCCCTTCCTTTCAAAGACCCAGGCTTCCCAACATCGCCTACTGCCTGCCACTGCTGCAGCTAGCCCAGCAGGGCCTTCCACTGCCGATTGCACGAGCTCCTCTAGCTCGCTCTCATCGATGGAGGCCAAGCCGACGTGAGAGCCGCGATCTGAATTTGCAGAGAAAATCTTTGAGCACAGAGGCAGACACTGATTCCTCCTAGAACTGGCTGCGTGTCGGGTTCGTGTCACATCAGACTCCATGCTTGGTGCCTGCGCCTCCAGTCGCCGCCAGCGTCATGGACAGCGCTGCGACGGCCTTCTCGAAGACCGAAAGCTCCTGCACCTCTTCGGCCGCCTGCACGCATTCTCAAGCCAGAGCCTATGCTCGCACCCTCTTCAAGCTTCTTGCGGTTGTGGCCTCTTCATGCAGCATCATGCAGGCCTTGGATCCCAGGGAGCAGAGCAGCACAAAACGGCTCGCGGAGCTCGCGGACCTGGCCTGACACGCCGTGGGCCGCTTCCGCGCGTGCCGCGCGAGCAGCCGCTGCAGCAGGGCGACCTCAGCGAACCGCTCGGAGCTGCGAGCACCGCTGCTCTGCACGGCGCACTGTGCTCTTGGCACGGCGCTGCTGCACTGCGCCGAGGCGGCTCCGACTCCGAGGCTCGGACGGTGGACTGGCTGAGCTTGCTGGCCGCCAGCTCGTCGAGCCTCGCGTTCCCCGTCAAGGTCTGCTCCGCACTCTTCGCCTCCAGAGGGCACACAAAAGAGGGCACAAACAAGGCACGCGAAGG